AAGTGCAATTAGGCATTTTGAACATCCAGAAGAACTAGCTAACAAACCAGAATCAGCAAATAGGTAAAGCTCCTATGAATCTTTGATCACATAGTTGTAAGTACCTCCTCCATTAATGTGGGGAACATCCTATCCACACTGTTTGATCTTGCACCTTTCTTTTCCACTTTCTTCTATCATTCTCCTGTAAAGAATCTACCCAACATGATGGAGATAAAACTCTTGGTCTTTTTAATATCATGTGGATGCCAGTGCAACACTCAGCCTTTCTCTCTGTATGTCTCTGTTGTGAACATTTAGAGAGGACAAAATGAAGTATCAGCTATTGGCTCTGTGAGTTGAGGTTGCCGCTGTACTAAACTGTGGCACTGCTAAGTTTCAGGCTTTAATTTTTGTTTTCACATGTTCTAGCCTTTCAGAAGAAGATGGGGGAAGGAGGAGACTTCATGGTTTGTATAAGCAAAAATAGCTACAATCCTCATATCTCTTGGTGTGCCTTCTACCCGTGGCCATTGGGAGTCTGAATGGATCAAGAATGATATACACACCAACACTGGGATGGAAATGTTCTTCCACTCAACCCACTCCCATCTTCTTAGCCCACATTGTAGGACATCACAATGTCTTCTGTTTCTCCTTGTCCCCTCAAATAGCCACATACCCAGAGTCTTTGGAGATATACAGATGTATATGTACCCATATAAATATATGTGTGTATAAACATGTATAGTGACTACTAAAGAACTTTGCATTTCTATGCATATGCATATGAATAGATATGCAAGGGCACTTTAGCAGCCCAAATTCTTGCAAATAATTCTTGTGGTATAAACACAGTTGTCCACAGATTTGACACATTCCATTGGCTTGGGCAATACTTCTCTTCTATGACTCCTCTGAGGGGATCTGCAAACAGTTTTTGAAGGAACACATTATGCCCCTAGCTGATATTTTTAATGTAATTAAATTTGTATATATATTATAAATGGTTTTGGATGGAATTGCTCAGACTTCAGACCTTGCTGTCAGTTGGTCATTATATTCTCTTCATGGAATATCAGAAATTTGTAATGTTCACTGAAACCAGTGTAAAATATGCTGATATTTTATCTTGTTAACAAGATGTATTTTTCTATGTTAGTTAAATGTATAATTTGTATAATTTTGTACATTAAAATGTATGTGTTTTTAAAAATAAAAAGCTTTTCTTTAGAATGTTTAAATATTGTTGGAGTTCATTGCTACTCTATACCCACAGATATGTAAATTATTTTCCTACCAGGTATCCTTGTCTCTCAGTAGTAAAATGGTTATGGTCATTGGGGTTGAATTACCCTCCAAGACATAAGCTCATAGACTATTAAAGCTGGGAGTTTGAAACATACATGAGAGACTAAAAGGATGCTAACAGGTTGTCTTTGACATCTCTCTCATTTGGCAGGTGAAGAATCTGAGACACAGGGAGCAGAAATGATTTGTTCATGGTCACACAGCTAGTTAGTAGCAGAGCCAGACTTAAAGCTAAATCCTAGTTTCCTAGCTCCTGATCCAGATCTCTTTCTCCTGCAATATGATGACATGAGCAAGAATAAAAAGTATACAATTTCTAACTTGCAATCTAGCAGAAAGGATGGGGGCAGCTAGGTGATGTGATGAATAGAGTGCCAGGGCTGGACTCAGGAAGACCTGAGTTCAAATTTGTCCTCAGACACCTACTACCTGTGTTATCCTGGATAAGTGATTTAATCCTGTTTGCCTCAGTTTCCTCATCTGTAAAATGATTTGGAGAAGGAAACGGCAAACCACTATAGTGTCTTTGCCAAGAAAACCTCAAATGGGATCACAAATAGTCAGACATGACTGAAAACAACTAAACAATAACAACAGAGCTGATAGGATCTACTGCTATGGTATTTACCCTGAGTAAAATGAGTCAAGAAAGGTTAGAGGGATAGTCTAGTGTGGAAAGAACACTGGGGAAATAGTTAGAAAATGTATCCTACTTTTGGTTCTGTTTCTAACTAGCTGTGTGACCTTGAACAAGTTCGATGGCTTCAGTTGATTCATTTATAATCCAATTAAACGAAACTTTATTAAGTGCATATTAAGTGCAAGTCATTATGCTAAGTATTTAGGATAAAGGGGTTAAAATTTCTATTCTCAAGCTCTAAGAATTTGCAATCTATTGGGGGGTGGGGCATGACATATAAAGAGTTAAGTTAAAATACAACTGAGACAAAAAGGGATGCAGACAATGTACTCTAGAAAAAAACATGAGGAAGCACAAATGATTGGAAGAATCAGGAAGATTATACAAGGAATATGGTACTTGAGCTGCAGCATCAAGGAAGAGAAGGGTTTCAATATGTATAGAAATTGAGGGGATGTATTTCAGGGAGGTTAAGGGAAGTGATGGGGAAAGGAACAAAAAAGAAAATATTTTATTGTGGCATGGTATTGATTATTTAAATCATTTGCATACTAGCTTTTAGTCATGGAGACTTAGATTAGGCTAAAGATAATAAGGCTTATTTTGGGAAAAAGAAAACTTACATAAAATAGTTTTAAGAAGGGAGGGTAGATTTTCTTTTTGGATAAACTGGTTGTTCCCAAGAGTTGTTTTTTGTTGTTGTTATTGATCTGGTACCTCCCTGTATGTGGAAACTTATGTGTCCTTGCCAAATGTTTGTTTTTATATCTTGGTTTGTTATGTTTGTTTATTTAGCTTAGTGTTTGTTTACATTTAGTAAAAAGTATCTATATCTATATGTATATATACGCAAATATGTAGATATGTATGTATATGTGTGTATAATTTGCCTCATTGATTAAATCTCTCCAGATCATTTACTTTCATTGGGGCCAGTGTGCATCAGGTCTAAGAATAAAAGCTATTACAAGAGGCTAGGCAAGTAATTCAGGAATTCATCCCATCATGACATCCTTTCCCATTAAGGGCATTTCTCTGGTACAACACTCTCCCTATGTTCTATTTATGTTTGGACATATTTATCTATGTTCAGTACCTATTACAGTGTATTTTGTACATCAGTACCTATTACAGTGTATTTTGAATATAACACTTAACATTTATTGAATGAATAAATGGATACGGGGAAAAAAGATAAGAAACTTATGCAGTGTAGTATAAAGTAGATGGGGACCAAATAGATAAGTTTTTCCCCCCAGGCCTATCAGGTTGACCAACTTATTTCCACTCTCTAGGACTTAATTTCTTATATTTAAAATGAGGGAGTTGGTTTACATTCATTACACTACTTATTACATTATTTCTGATGTCACTTTCAGCTGTCACACTATCTGATTCTAAAACAGGGTGTTTAAAAATATTTTAAATTTGTTTGGTTCAGTTGTATTTAGTTATAGACTAGAGTGGTGAAAGAAGTTGGATGATCAAATTCTCGGGAAAATAGCTAAACTCTCCACTTTCCCCTGTCTCCCGAATCGCAGTATCTGTGGAAACCTTAAAGCTACAGAAATAAAAGTCATGGTGTTGCTGACTCCTCGTATGAAGCATCTTTGTGCTTGCAATACTGCAGTAGAAGTCCTGAAGCAGGGATGCTCCTGCGAAGCAGAAAGGGACGAAGTCCCTGAGAGTGCTGAAGGGACAGCTCCAAGAACATGCCTCGTTCCTCAGCCAGAACAAGGTCTAGAATAGTCTGGGAAAGGACCAGTCTAGAATTGACACGGAGAGCATGCTTTTTTCTTCTCGATAGGCTAATCCTCTTCAGTCCTTCCGCAGAGACTCTCCTGTCATAGGCACCGTGTGACTAAATCTACTAGATAGAGCCAAAGTGGGAGGATGTATGGTTTAGGCGGCGGCAAGCGATTGCTTCCGTGTCAGGATCTGTCTGTTAGCTCCGGGTACTGTGGAGTCTCCTGGCAGTTGTCACAGTCTCTTCCCTAGGCCAGTGTTCTGTTTCAGAGCTGTGGTCACCCGGTCCACCCTCACGTCTGTGCCTCAGACAGAGGAGGAAGAAACCAGTCTTTGCCCTCTCTTTGGAGTTTCAAAACGGGTTTGGAAAGCAAATGTTCTACGAGTGACTAACTCATGTGGCGGCCTCGTGGGGTTTAGGGAAGGTCGGTGGCAACGGAGCTGGCACAGCTGCTTTGAGGAGTGAGTCCCGATAGACCAAGAGGGAGTCTTGGCTCTCGCAGATTCAACCCAGGCAGCCTAGCTTAAAGTACTCTGGAGCGGGGCACTCTACGGGTTCTCCAGCGCTCTCAGGAAAAGGAGCTGCGGAGTTCAGCTCTGCATCACCTTCCTCTGGCTCTCCCAAACCTTCGAGCAGCCATTGGCGGCGGGAGAGCTGCTGCAGCAGCAGGTGCAGACGCCACAGCAGGAGCAGCCGAGGCAGAAAGGGTGGCGTTAGGGGCTGCAGCTTCCTGGAGTGAAGAGTAGCCCCTTGCGTGTTGTATGTGTGTGTGTGTGTGTGCGCGCGCGCGCGCCTGTGTGCGTGTGAGTAGGTGCAGAAGAGGGCTTCCCCCTCCCTTTCTCTCCAATCGGGATCAGTCTTTAGAGCTGGGGAGCAGCAGCTAGTGCACTGCGGTCCTGCTGCTGGTGCTGCTGGTGCTGCCGCCGCCGCAGCCGCCACCACCACCTCAGCCGCTACTATTACTTCACATCACCTTTCACTGCTGCCACCTTCTCGATCGCCTTCCCTTTGTACTTTATTTCACGTGCTCCAACCAGAATAGGGGATGCGGGTTTCTCTTCCCTCTTTTTAAGATCTACTTGGTTTTCACCCCCTTCCCCTTCCTCACCCCCCTTCCCTTTCCCTACATTGCTCCATCCATCCATCCATCCATCCATCCATCCATCTATCCATCCATCCATCCATTGCTCCATTCATTCATGTTTAGGGTCCTTGGCGACGGCGCAGCCCGGGAGTAAAGGTGCCGGAGGAGCGTGGCTGGGGGGCGGGGAGGGGGGAGAGGACTAGAGACACGGAGGGGGTACTAGAGGAGAGCGCTAGAGGATGGCTGAGAGGAAAAGGAACTGGAATAAGGAAGACGACCTGCCTGTGTATCTAGCCCGGCCCGGTACCACAGCACAGACCCCTCGCCAGAAATATGGGGGTATGTTCGCCTCGGTGGAGGGCGCCTACGAGAACAAAACCATCGACTTCGATGCCTACAGCGTGGGCAGAAAGGGCTCCCGGACTCCCAGGAGCAGCAGCAGGCCCGACATGATGTTCTTGGGGGAGACTGGGGACAATTTCAGCGAGACAGCCAGCGACGTGAGTGAAGTGTCCGGCTCTGTCATCAGCTCTCCGGGAGACAGGGATGACAAGACACCGGGAGTGGAAATCCGATACCCGATGGGAAAGGAAATGCTCCAGGGCCCGGACAATGGGAAGGTAAAAAAAGGAAGTGTGTGTGTGTGTGTGTGTGTGTGTGTGTGTTGCGGGCTGGGCCGGGGCGGGGGGCGGGGGGGAGAACAAGCATATGGTCTGCGGAGGGAGAGAAGTGAGGCTGCCGAGAAGAGAAACCTAGACTGCAGACCCCCCCTACCTTAGCACGGCACTGCAGGCTTTGGGTGCGGGGAGGTAAGGGGAAATGAAATGGGAAGATGGAAGGGGCTTGGGGGAAACAGCGAGGTTTCAAACTTGTGACTTGGCTATCCAGCCAAACCTTTGCTGGCAGGCAGCATCGGAGTTAAGGTGCCTGGGCCCCAGAGTAAGAGAAGCAGGCGTCGTGGTGTCGGGAGCGGCGAGGAGGGACCCCAGACAGTGAGTGCCCCCTGGTTTCCCCTTGGCCAGTCCTAGGCTAACCTGAGGAATGGAAAGAACTCAGAGACCGATATGCCGCAGCCTAGATTCTCTTCCCCGCCCCCTTCAACCCCCGCACATCCTTTTAGTGAAGACCGCATGGTTGTGGTCCTAACCTCTTGGAAATCTGGCTTGAGACTAGGTCCGAGCCACGAAAGGGGGCGCAAGACTGCGCTTGAGCCTCTCAGACTCCAACTGGCACCTGGTTAAAGCTTTTCAATGTAACAAAGCCGCTGCGGTGGTGGGTTGGAGGTTCTGGCAATTGCTTGGGTGACCTGACCTGGACCTGAGGCTGTTTCCCCTCGGAGTCACTGCGAAGTGAGGTATCCATGCGGATACTGGCAGGATATACAATTCTCTTGGTTTCAACGTTGCAAAGGAGAAGGAATGCTTTATTGGAAAGAACGTCGGCTCTGGAGTCAGTTGATTTTGTTTCGAATCCCAGATCTACCAATTGCTAAGTGTATGACCTTGGGCAAGTCACTTAACCTCTATGGACCTCAATTTTCTCATCCGTAAATAAATACCTCACAGGGTTATCAATACAGTGAAACAAGTGAGATAATGGCTTTAACGAGTTATTTAAATTTCAACTATTGAAGAGGAGTGGTGGAGCCAGTGGCCGAAGCCGGTGGTATCTCCCCTCCCCCAAACCCTGGTCCTTGATTCCCCAATCCAAATGTTTTTCTGAGAGCTGAGAAAAAGGTTTAAGCAGCCTGAGCTCTAAGAGGGAGTGATCTCCCCGGCAGGTTTCTGGGCGGTAAGCTCGCTTTCATTCAGGATCTAAGGGCCATCAGAGACACTAGACTCCTCGTTCTGCCGTGGTCTAAGCCTCCACCCACTTTTCCTGGCGTCACTGGAGCTGGACAAAGGGTGGCTCCAAGGGAACTCCGAGGTTTTAGGAAGAGTTAATGGAGCAGAGGAACAATTTAGCTGATCTCCCCTCTCCTTCCCGCCCCCCCCCCCCACCACAGCTGTCCCTCAGCCTCAAGGCTAGGCCCATACTCTCGAGTCCTGCCTGCTACCAATCTGCTATGGAAGAGTTGGCTTTCGGAGGAAAATTCGAAAAAGCAATTTGCTGCCGCAAGGTCAACGATTTATAAAGAGAAAGGGAAAACAAAACAAAACACCTAGTAAATATATCTGGTTCGCAACACAGGTTAAAAGTACTTGCACTTCCTAATAATAGCAGCTTCCATTTCTGCATCACTTTAAGATTTACAACGGACTTTCCTCATAGCAACCCCGTAGGCCAGGTAGTGTAGGTATTATCATTCCCATTTCACAGATGAGAAAACAGAAGCTCAGAGAGAGGAAGGGACTAGCCAATGGTGACAGTCAGTGACAGTAAGAATTCAAACCAGTTTCCTGATTTCAAGATCCTCAAGAAGGATTGTTCTTTCCCACCATTCTGCCTCTTTTGGCTGTTCTCCTTTTTTCTCTTCCTCCTCATCCTTGTCCTCTCTTATGTTTTCTTCCTTCTTCCCAGCTCAGCCCCTACTCTTGATACACAGACACCAGCATTTTATAGGCCAGCTGGGAATAGGGGACCCTCCTCACTCCCTCCTCCTTTTCAACTGCTGCCAGGCTTTCCTTTTTCTTAAGGACATTTCCCTGGGGTGTACCAATATGCCTCTTGAAAACTTTATGGTAGAGAATTCTTAAATAAATCTGCTGGACAAAATTTGATTTAGGAGCCCAGGAAGACAAAGTGGCTTTTCTTTTATTCTTGAAATATGTGTTAAAGAATAGACAATTTGAGCTTGGTTCAGGCCTATTCAGTGGACAAATCATGTCCTTCTCCATTGACTGAATGGAGGGGAGCTGGGGTGTGTCAGGTTTCCTCTCTGGCTTTCCACTGTGTTCTACCTCCAGAGACCCATAATATAAATTAGTTTCGAAATGGGGCAGGATGCTGAATTGATGGAAGATGCCCATTTCAGTAATACCTGCCTTTTAAACTCAAGAACTGATTTTTCAATCCTGTATCTCAGAATCATCTAACTTTAGAGCTGTAGGGGACGTTGGATGGTCTTTCATATCCTTTTGGAACTGAGGCAAGGATCAAATTGACTAGACCTAGGACAATCAGGGTTATCTCCTCTACCTCCTCACTACTTCTAGTTTGAATTTGTCAAGTAACTTCCCCTACAGAATGCCCACACCAGAGGCAAACAAATGGATACGGGGAACCAGGGCCAAAGCATCTCTGCTATCTGGTCGTCTGTAGGTGCAGCCTTATTTTGGGCTCCAATTGGGCCTTTCTAACCCAGATGTTTCCTGCTAGGGTGAGCCCCACCCCCCAAAGTTCCCACCTCAAGATGCTGAAACACCTGTAGCAGTGAGGATAAGGTCTACTCGGGTTTCCAAATACCTTTTAAAAACACATATAACAACCACAAGGGGAAAAAAAAACAAATACAAAACCAAAACAAAGGTGAAAATATCATCCCTTTTGGAAGGATTTATTGCTCCGGAAGAACTCTCCAGCTTCAGTGAGCCTGGGTCTCCGGGTGGGTAGCAGAGGTAGATCGGTGGGTGTGTTGGGGGGCGGTGAGATTGAAGAGTGGAAAGGAGGAAGCGTGTGTTGGGGGGTGGGGGGGAGAAGGAAGATTGGAAAGGAAGCGCTTCCTGGGTTGAGCTGAGCTGGGCGAATCCTGCTAGGTTCCTGCAGCCGAGAGGGCGCTGGCGCTGCCTCTAGAAGGAGCTCTCTCTAGCCAACTCCCTTTGGGAGACCCGGCCCTGTTTTATTGCAGCCGGAAAAAAAAAAAAGGTAGCAGGTTTTTGCAAACGCTGCCGTTCCTTTTTTGGAAAAGAAAACTTTACCTTTATTAAAATATTTTTAAACGTTTGATTGCTGGGAGACAAGCCTGCCTGGGCCCGCACGCGGGAGTGTTGTGTGAGCGTCTGAGACCCGGAGGCAGAGGAGGAGAGACAGAGACAGAGAGAGAGCCCCCCACACGGAGGGAGAGTGACCATGTCTTATCAGGGCAAGAAGAGCATCCCTCATATAACGGTAAGACCAGCCCAGGGCACAGAATGAGGACTCCTCCCAGAGCTCTCCTGCCTTTGTTAAGTGGGAGGGGGTGGGGAATAGATAGAATACCGCCACCCGGGCCCTGGAGCTTCTAGTTTGGAGACCTGGGGAGGAAGCTTGGGGACTGAAAATCTGACTCGGACGAGGGCTGCTATAAAATTGAGGGCGAGGGCAAGTGTTGGCCTTTGCAGGTGGGTCCGCGGGACGGACCCTCTACAGACACTTCCCCCCAGCGCCTGTTTGTGTGTGTGCGTGTGGAGGGGGGAGACTATGGGACCAGGTGTGTCTGTCGAGGGAGGGGGTGTCTCTGCTTCCAGAGGGCCTGGAGGGCGTGGGGGTGGGTGGCTCCTAAGCGCTGCAATGTCCCCCTCTTTCCCTTTTCTACTATCAGCTCCCCCTGTGTCCCCATCTCTGGCTCAAACAGTAATGCCACCCATGGATCCTCCAGGGATCCTGGGTAGCTCTTCAGGCTCTGAGCTGGTCCACACCGCCTATGATGGGAAGGGAGGGAGATGCTGTGGAGGGGAAGAGAATGGACTGGGGTGGAAAGGTGGCTCGCAATTGATGCTAAACCGAACAAAAGAGGGAGGGGACCTCTGTTGCATGCAGTCTCCAGACACCTCCCCCCACGCCCCTCTGGCTCCCTCAAGGAGGCAGCCTGTGGGCAAATCCCTGGCGAGTGGCTCCTCCCGGCACCCACTGGTTCTCATTTCCTTCACTTTCTGGGGGGTGGGGCGGGGGATGTAGAGTAGAAATGTGGTGAGCTAGGGAGCGCCATGACAGGGGCACCGCCTCCCAGCCTTCCTGGGCTATTAATAGATGAGAGAGGGACTGCCGAGCCGGCGAGATCGGGAGTCAAAGGGTTAAAGTGAGCTTGGCTCACAAGGTGGGGGGAGGGGAGGAGATGGGAGGGGGCACCAGGGCGTTCCCATCTACGCGTGGGCGGAAACAAAGAAAAATCTGGATCTGACCAAGGAACCTGGGATGCAGAATCTGACTGTGGCACTGTGGGAGGGGTCCTGGGGCTGAAGAAACCTGCCCTAGAGTGGGAAGTTGCTTTCTTGAGTTCAGGTTGGGATATCGCGCGGTGCTGAAAGCAAGAATGTCAAGTACTTTTGCAGGGGCCCTCTAGTTGAGGTAATTGGTCAGCTGGAAAAGTCCTGCTAAGTCATAGATTCAGTTGTAGTTTCGCAGCGGTAGTCCTAAACTACTGCAGTCAAGCTAAGCCTTTGTAGGTGAGAAATATTGCAAAAAAGCTCGGGGTTTGGTCCTTGCCCTCCAGGAAATGCAATACTTGTTGGGGCGACTTCTTCAGATATAGCAGCACCGTTCCAGGCGGCCTCAAGATACTCAGCGGTGTAGGAATTTAGAAAAGGGGTCCCAAAGACGGCAGACCCAGAGTTCCAAGAAAGAAGTCAGCCTGGAGAGACTGAAGAGGAGCATGCATGGGTTTAAACTCATTTCTCCCAATACTGATTTGTGGTTTGAAGGACAGACCGTTCATTTGTGGAAGTCTAAACAGTGCCTTCAGTCTGGGACAAAATTCCTCTGT